TGAAAATCTGGTCCAATTCAAAGATTCAATTAATCCTACACTGTATGTGCCTAGGGTCTCACCCTGGCAGCTGAGACAGGCCAGCCCAACTGACTTGGTGGCACAACAGTGTCAGCCTTATCAGGATAGGTCTCCTCAGACCGATCCACTGGCTGTGAACATTCTAAACTAACACGAGTCTCATTAAGTGTCCAGTTTAAGGGTATTACACATAAACATACTAAGGGAATACGAATCAAATATGCACTTTTATTCATTTACAATAAACTCATAAAGTACATCATTCTGATTGAAACTAAGGGCATACAAAATTGTCCAACACTTTATCTTTTTGCTCAAATATAAGTAAACAAAACCCTCTTGCGGAAAAAAAAATTGGAGTTTGGTTCCCAAATGTTTGATGGAACAACAGATACAGGTTAAGAGACTTTTTGGTAGTTAGTGATCTCTCACAGCTCATAAACTCATCAAAACCAAAGCTTTTCAGAGGGGGAATGGAGCAGCACTAGATACTTGCATAGACATTCAATTAGCTTGCCTTAAAATTTTAATAGGATTCTTTTGAGACTGCAATTTAAATACTTTGAACTCAATTTCTTTTATAATGTTTGTGCAAATTAATTTGACGTTTACTTTCTATAAATGACTAAGGCCATGTTTGGGAGTGGTTATGTTAAAAATAAGTACTTAAAAACAAGTATTTAAATTGTATGCTTATTTCTCAATACTTGAAAAAAAGCTGAAAATTTGGGCTTAAAAAATAAGCCCTTAGTTTTAAAATAAACACTTGTTTTATACTTATTTCCCTAACACCAATAAGTTCTTTATGGTGTGGTCCCAGTCCAAATAAATACTTATTTTAAATAAGCACTTATTTTTAAACACTCCAAAACGTAACCTAAATGTAAATGTAAAAATATCATCTTTTTGGCAATGTAAAATGTGAAAACATCTTGTCTTTATATCGTTTAATTTATGAATAAAATCTGACAAGTTCTTTATTTTAGCCTGAAGATGATAATTTTATGGATGTGTTGTAAGACTAGAACTGGACATGAAACTAGAATGTTCATTGGGTTACAGTTCCACGAGCGGATTCAGTACTTACAAGACCGGTCTCACACCATCTTTATCCATTTACAGTCATGCATTGAGAATATTTCTGTACTTGTATGCTGTTTTAATGGGGTGATATTCCCAATATAAGGCTGTAAGGGATTGTAAGAATGGTCTTGTGAGGACCAAATCCGATTTCCTGGTTAACTGGGTGGTTAGCCATTGAAAGGAAGGTCACCATGCCACTAGAGGTGTTAATGGACCGATTTTGGGTTCAACCCCGTCTAAATGAAAATCAATTTGGACAGATTGAACAAACCAATAAGACATAATGAATTGGACCAGTTCAGACTTAATGGTCCAAAATATTTATCAGATTGGATTGGACCTAGTCTATCCGTATCCGTAATGGATTTATATTGGATTGGATTCGATTGAACCGATATCTGGTCCATTGATAGAAGATAAGAATACATGTGTCAAATGGACCAGGTTTGGTTGGAACCAATCTAAATGGACCAGGTTTGATTGGAACCAATCTAAATTAAAACCAATTTGAACAGATTGGACGATTGAGACATTGAATTGAACCGGTCTAAAATGGTCCAAAAACTCATCGAATGGGATTGGAACTAGTCCATCTGTAATGGACTCATATTGGACCAAATCGGATTGTACCAAATCCAGTCCAATTGACACCCCTACATGTCACTAGTTCAATATGAAAGTTAAAAAACATCAAGGCTGTATTTGCTTTGAAAGAAAAGAAGGGAAGGAAAAGGAAAGGAAGAGACCCTTTCCTTTCTTTAAAACCAAGCACAGCCTAATATAGGAGGCATCTGGTGCACTGTAACTTCTGCTGATATGAATTGATCATCAGTTGAAAAGTGAAGAAGTACGTTTAATTTCCATCTATGAAATGGTTTTTATAATTTATCAGATAAACTAGGCCAAACAAAAGAGTCTTGCAATTTGACAATACTCACAATGATAAAATAGCTTTTAGGGTTTAGCTTTGAAAGATCTCTGGAGCATTAGGAAGAAGGGCGTGAATAAGTTTCACCGAGTGATGAGACAATGTTTATATATATGTATGAATCAGCTGGTATATCTTGATCAACAAAATATCACAATGTTACAGCATTATTAATAAACAAAAAATAAGTAGGGACAATGAGCATTCTATGTGATCATTTTGATTGAATTCAAAGCCTAATGGTTCATAAAGATTATTCCTTCCAGACAGGAATGATCCCTTGGGCTGCCAGCCTCTTCTCAACCCAAAATACCACATGTTTTGCTGTGATTCTCTTCTCATCAATGAGAAAGGGTTCGACAGTACTCACTCCTGAACCATAAGAAGATAAAGAAAATCCCTTTGGACCTGGGGAAAAGTGAAGAAAATATTAGAAAAGAATTAAAACAATGAAAATATTTCACATGGAGTGTTGTGTGTTATGAATATAGAATCCAGTAGCTACCTGTGAGCACTCCATTTGGGAAGAATGCCCAAAATGAATAGGGAAAACCATTCTTTAGGAATGAACCTTCCAACTGTTGGAAACAAAAATGAGAAATTAGAACAAGAATAAAAATTTTATTGAGTTTCTTGGGTGTTTAACGATGACCCCAAACAGGGTTGATACAGACTGCAAATCTCCAAAAAATAGAAACTTACCAATCAAAACCTACTATTGGCCAAAGAAAATAAAACTGATATTCGAATTGAAACCTTAATCAAACCAGAAGTCTTTGATTTTATTCAACATAATATTGTCCAATAGAATTTTCTTATCGACAAATAGTAGCACTACTGGCTTAGCAGTTAGCCAGTTAAGCTCAGATACTGATATTGTTGATCAGATTACTATAAAAATAATTGGGCAATACCCCAAACCAAGGAAAAAAAAAGTATGACTAACCTTGTTATCCCGAAAGAAAAGCTCAATTTCCGAGAGATCATCTTGAGCTTCAAGAATTGTCTTCAATGCCGGGATTACATCCTCTTCCATAAGTTGAGGCAGAGGTTTGGCCGGAGCTTTTGCTGGAGGCTTCGGCTTCGCCGGAGCTTCTTTTGCAGCTGTCTTTGCCTCAGGTTTGTCAGCAGCAACTATGGGAGGGAAGGAAAATAAGAAATTAAGCAAGTGAAACAAGAGTTGCATAAAGTTCAAAACCTTGAAATTTCCATGGGAAAAAAGCTATGTTCAGTCTCAGTCAATCTTCTCTATCAGTTAGAAAGTAATCAAAATTAAAGCACAGAGAAGGACCAGAAGATAAGAAAATCTACCTGTTGAGGTGGATGACTCTTGCACAGCAGAGCAGAAAAAGTTTCCTCTTGAAATGACTAGATTTCCAACCTTCCGCTGCTCATGTTTCGTGGGAAGAACCGAAGACAACGGCGGGTAGACAGAAACTTTGATTGGTTTTGTCAAAGGACAATTCAAGTTAATAGGTGGAGCAGCCATGTGACGGTAAGGCTGATGAATGGCAGAAAGAAACAGCGTTCCTCCGACGTAGATATCACCAGAATCCGGCGTCACCCAGCATCATTTAGTGTGTGGAAAGTGGAAACAGCCTTGATCTCATTTCTTTGATCAGTTAAGCATAGAAAATGAATGGTGAGGGCAGTTGGGCATGGAAGGAAAGCAGAGGTCGATCGGTCGTTTAGTGTTTGGAGGTTGTTTTCTCTCTCTCTGCTAAAGCGTAGAATAAGAAAAGCAGCAGTGGTGGGAAATGAAATGGTTGTATTCAAGTAAAATGCCATCCTCTAGTTTGTTTTGCAATGCCTCATCTCATCCATCTCATGTATCTTAATTTATTTTCTTTTAACTGATATTCATAGACTAATTTATGTTGGCCACACACCCAGTCGCAAAGGGACAAACGTGGGCCCATACGAAGGTATTTTTCTTTTGGTTTGCGATTTTTTTTTTTTTTGAAGCTTAAGTTTTCCTTTGCCACTCCATCCCACCGCTGGTTAGTGGGGGCTAATTGACCAATCTGATACTAAGTTCAATCGAGTGTATCAAATTTTGTGTATGCTTGTATTATTTGGTTAGGATCCATCATATGGATGGTCATATTATGTTAGATGGTTTAGCGAAATTGTAAAAATTTCCTAATCCGTTTGGAAATCGAATTCTCTATATTTAAAAAAATTACATTTTTTAGGATCGATCTTGCACTGAATTGTACTTGATTTGAAACCAAACAAAGAGGGAGATATATACCTGATATTGATGCCATAAACGTAGATCCCAATGTGGAAGTTCACACCCAAATCAGATTTGAAGCTAGTTCAACAATGCAATTTTCGACAAAATTGCAATCCAACTGCTTGGATCAAATTGGGGATGTGAGCATGAATTCCTTTGAATTTTCTTGCAAAAATCAGAAGAAAACGGATCTCTATCAGTCCCAAAATAGCTGTGGTTGAACTAGAGTTTCTTGGAAGACAAAAGAAGAAAAGAGAGCAGAATTGAGAGGTGTTCTTGATCAGTTTGCCCTCTTATTCTTTTATCTCTTTATGGAGCACTTCTCCAAATCAAATTAGGAGATTATCCAATTCTAATTTGGATTTGGACTCTATTAAGATATAGGTCTTATCCTCTTAAGAGGATAGGTGCTCTATACTCATTTCCAAGCCCAGATTCGCCCCATGTACATGACAACTTAAGCTGTCATGTGACAACTTAATTAATCATATTAATTATGGGCTTTAGGCCCATCAGCTATAAGGCTCACGACCCAAGAGTGTTGCATGACCAACTTAGGCCTGATTTGTATGGTGTGGAACCCCACAATGACCTTACATAAATCCACATGGGTTCGGCCCAGCCTCTGTGAAAAGGCCTGACCGAATTCACTATTAAACGTAGTAAACCCCTAAGCACATCTCTATGGGCTCAAAATGGGCCCAACATTTACACTTAAATGATCATTGAATTCAGTCATCCTATGAAAACTCAAGGATAATGAACTTTAATGGTATCTTACACTTAACCTTTTGGCCCATAATGATTAAACACTGTTTGATAGGGAATGGCCTCTCCCCTGGTTGCAAGGTGCAGTGTCACACTCTTTGCTCGGATGGATCTCGGGAATTCCTTTTGCAAACATTTTTCATAAAACATAATATATATCATATAAATATAATTTTGTAAAACCAAATCTCAAACACGGTTGAAATCCACTGCCGACAGTTTAGTTTTCCATTAGAGAGTGTAAACCCTATCATTCACTTTGTCCAGCAAAGGGGCCGATGATATCACTATGATCACCTACTTAAGTGAATTCTTAGACTGCCCCAGCATACCTAGGTTTTGACCCATAATGGATATCACTGATTGACATATCAAAGACAACCCAATCCGACACCTAGTGCAGTACCATAATCAAGTCTAGGGGTTATGTGCAACTTTTCAGTTTTGCCCATCAATCTCCTAGGTCCAGGGCATAACTGGAAAATGGTCCAGGTTCAGTGTTTCAACCAAATGCACACTACGTGTGCTTTGGGTCTAACCATAGCAACTAAGACAAGCTACCCCAACTTCTTTGGAAGCACATCAGTGTTAACCTTGTTGGATAAACTCCCTAAGTCTATCCAATGACTGAGAACATTCTAAACTACCACGAGTCTCATAAGTGTTTAGTTTAAGGAGTAATTTCATAGAAACATACCAATATCAACATGAAACAATAATGTACTTTTATTCATTTACAATAAATCTATTTGTACATCAATATGATTAGAGATAAGGGCATACACTGTCTAACATGCCCCACCTATTGGATACGAGAGAGGGATAAACAATTTAAAAAACCTCCGAAAAATCATAAAAATAAAAAAGAGAGAGAATGAGTAAGTGAGAGAAGAATAAATTAAGGAGTTGCTAACTAAGTTATGTTGACAGGAGAGCACCACTGGGAATCTTAAACCTTTGACCAGTCACGTAATAACCCAATTGGTTGCCTGAGCCATGGCAAAAGACTCAGTCAAGAATGATCACACAACCTCCTCCTCATCTATAGGTTTGTCTGTTTCTGCAGGCCCAAGCATACTAGCCTTGGTTCCGTACATTGAGTATCTCAAACTTCAAGAGAAGCTAGGGGATGTAATAGCCTAGTTTGCAGCTTTTCTCGAAGAGCATACCCGATCAGAACCACCTCCTCCTCCCCCAACAGATCAAAGCACTCGTTTATCAGCATTGGAAACCTTTCCCGCCTTCACACCTTTGAGCACATCAACAACTTTCCCACCTTTCACATCATCTTCGTTCCCAACATCCTCTACACCTAATACTACCTTTACACCTCTCCCTTTTGTGTTTACTACTTCGTCACGCCAGCCTCCACCCCGACCAACCTTTATCTTTGTAGAATGGTCCTACTGTCAACATCCACCCCAACCAGCCTTAACTTTGTAGAACAGTTCTACTGCCAACCTCCACATCACCAACCTTCAACTTTCTGAGGCAGTCCTATCCCCGACCCTCTTTGACCCTATTCGGCAAAAACAACCCTAAGTTTAGTACACCACCTCCTTCATTCCAAAATCCCCTAAAGGATTATGTGGAGAGATTGAAAGATGAGATGAGGCAAGTGAAGGGAGTGCGTAATTTGGGGATCACAAGTTTTAAGGAGTTATTCTTGTACTCAGATGCTAAGCTACTCGAGAAGTTCAAGATGCCCGATTTTGAGAAATATGATGGAAAAGGCTGTCCGCAGACTTACTTAAAAGTATTTTGTGGGGATATATTTCAATATGGTTATGATGAGAAGCTCTTGACCCAAATGTTTCAGAAGATCCTAACTGGGAGTGCTAGAATGTGATTTTCCAATCTTGAGGAAGAGAAAAAGAAATCATGGAAACGAGTATCTAAATAATTCTTAGATCACTTTTCCTACATGGAACTACTACCAGATTCAGTAGATCTTGAGTTCATGACTCAGAGTCCTGGAGAATCTTTCTTAGACTATGCTTACAGGTGGTGTGAAATGGCATACAAACTGCGACACCCCATACCCAAGGAAGAAATGGTTAGGCTTTTTGTCAAGACTTTGAAAGATCCATACCATACTCTATTGGTTGCACAACCACTTAAGGACTTCAACGAAATAGTGAAAGGAGCTGTCAGAATTAAAGAATCTCTTAGGCATGGCCAGATTAATCCATTGATGATTGGGATAGGGGCAATCATCTCTGAGCCAAAGAAGTTTGGAACCAAGTATCAAAGGAAGGAGTGAAGTATAATTTATATCTAGCCACCTAGCTAGCTTTGTGGCCACAAATTCCATCTAATCCTTCTTTCAGGGTGCATACTTTAATGCGTTCATAATCACGTCAATAGCAGCACATCCCAAGGGCGCAACAATCCCTCCAAACAAAAAAGGAGTTGACCCCACTTCCTTGTCCACACTCTTAGTTGTTACTTGCCTTGGTTAAAGATGAATATCTAGAGTTACGTGAAGAGAGACATTCGCCGGTGTATAAACCAAAGCATTATGATGAGAATGCCTATTGTGACTATCATAAAAGCCTGTGGCAAATCATTGACAATTGCCATCAACTCAAGGTTGTAGTTCAAAAGCTAATTGATTAAGGTTTCATTGCATTTCTTGAGCCTCATGAATCATCTTTTAATTGAGTTGTTCTCCATTTCGTCAACATATTTTGAGTGTCATCTTTGGCTAGTGTTGGGTATTATTTGTGGTGTCGAACCAATTGTGTAAATGTGAATGTAATCTCTATGTCAGGGGGTCAATGCTCTCTACCCTGCTTCTAACCACCAAGAGTCTCATTTTGTTAGTGCATTTAGTTTTCTCTCATCTCTTTTGCCATCCAAGGCATTTTGAACTATGTTTGTCCTGATCCCTTTCAAAGGGGTACATAGAGCAGCCCATCTCATGGGTCCAACCACTTTCATAAATAAAATATTATTTTCCCCCACTTCTCTTTCCCTTGCCTAATATGCTTACTTATAAGAGAGTGATTAGTCCGTTCAGGATTGTCTACCCACAAAAGAAGGTAGAGCTTGTCCCCTCTCAGAGTCCCAAAAGCATGCTTGAGGAAATTTAGTTTTTAATCAAGAGCTCTATAGTTGAACTTCCTGTTGACCTCCCAACCCGTAATAAAGCCATCATCTTTGTCCAAATTGGAGCAGAACTACAACTACCAAAGCATAGTACATTCCCTTTGAATAATGCCTAAGTCAGTGTAATTGCGGTTGTAAGGTGACAGAGGTTGGTCAAGTCTTCGAAGGTTTGGAGAAGATGATAGGAAAGAATGTCAGAAGGAATACTGATTGTAGAGGACATTGGGAGAAGATAAGAGAAGGAAGAGAGAGAGAGAGAGAGAGAGAGAGAGAGAGAGAGAGAGAGAGCTCTTTTAAGAAGCCCTAGGTCAGGGTTACATGGTATTTGTCTACATGGGGGAGAGTTATTCCCCTTTTTTATAGAGAGGACCCCAAGGTTATAAGGAGAATGATCTAAAAGGAGATATTTCCTATTAAGAAAGGGGATATTTATCTTTATGCAGGCGACTAAGGGAGCACCAATGAGATTTCGCCACGTGTCCAACGAAATCTTTTGACAGTTTCCCTTCTCCTAAGGATTCTTGCATGGCACGTGTAGGCTATGTCTCCTTATGGGTTTCCCTGTGGGCACGTGTCAAGGGCAAGACCTGGATCTGATTGGTGTGCTCGGGTGTTCTGCCTTTGAGGCACCTTGTCATAGCTAGTTGTGAATAGAAGGAATGCTAATCTCCCGTAGGCGGGTTTTGCTGACCTCGGGGTCTATCCTCTGCTCGTTACAACGGGAGTTTCCATTTCATGCTCATCGCAAGGTGCTAATAGTGCATTGGGCTCATCTTGGACTTGCAATATTATCTTATGTTCATCGCAAGTCTCAAGTGACACTAATTGCTTATTATAGGTCCGGGGAGGTGTTTTATGGTCATCGCAGGTCTTGGATAGTGCTTCATTCTCATCCCATGTGTAGGATGGCCTTCTATGCTCATCACAAGTGCATGCGCCTTATATTAATTTGATAAAATGTCATTGTGTCATTATAGAGGTGTCCCATTGGGATTGATCCATTTTTCTTTTAACATCCCCACTATAGTTCCGGTGATAGTGAATTGCATGTACTTACATTAGTCCCCTGCTTATTGATAAGAGTATTCTTGTCAATAATCATCCTTTGTGGTTTTCATTGCTTGTTTGGTGTTGTGTAACGATTAGATGATTCAGAACAGAGGAGCTGATTGATTTGTTAGATTGCAACTTAGTGGGTGTCACGAAAGGAAAGGAACCTGGTGATTCTATACTCTGTTGGAATGAGGGGCATGGTTAGGCCTACTTATTGGACTTCTCTTTGTTGGTGCTGTCGTATTGACTTGTACTTGTTTTCTGGGTTGTTTAAGTCATGTATAAAGTGTTGAAGGTGTAAGTGATGGTGAAACCGAAGGAGCATTTTGTAAGGTATAGCTCAATATTTCCTCTACTTTAGTTCCCTTGTTTCTTGATGGAAGGCCTTCTGTCAAGAAACATGTCTGCTATGACTTGTTGTTTTAAGTTTACAACCCCCTGTTTCTTGATAGAAGTCATTGTATCAAGAAACAAGTAAAGTAAATAGCCGGTTACTTTAATGTTCAACCCCCCTGTATCTTGATAGAATGTTTTCTATTGAAAAACACTAAAGTGCGGTTTGCTGGGTGTGCTATCTTTTCTGTCTCCCTTGTGAGTGGGAGGGTGCTGCATGGGCACTTAGTAGGTAGAGTACCCAGTCCCCTTGTGTTTTGATAGAAAGCATTGCATTAAGAAACAAGTAGAGCATCTTGATTGAAGGAATTCTATCAAAAGTATGGATCAAAGGTATGTCAAATTGAATTCACAGCCCCCTGCTTTTTGACAGAAGTCGAGAGAGGGATGGTCGAGTCCATTTTGCAACTCCGCATTTAAATTCTTCAGAGGTCAAGTTTAACCATTTTTCGTTGAGAGATGTATATAGAAGCTCAAGCATGTGGATACGTGCCAAAAGTTAGTGCTGACATGCTGCTTATCGCAGATGTTTTTATCGTTGTGTCTTGTTTATCACAGATGTTTTAGCGTTGTGTCTTGTTCCATCGCAATTATCATCGCAACTTGGATTCCTTGCATGTTTGTAGTTCAAGGTTCTCATCGCAATCCCTACAATACCAAGCTACATGTACTTAAAATTGCTATCTACTTGTGTGTGTGTGAAAAATCAATGCTGCCAGAAAGACATGATGTTGAAAGGGTTTTGCCCAATCAAAATTCCCCAATTTGATAAATAATCGCCTGATTAATTAGTAAGCCTTGTCAATTTTATGGGTGCCACATGAATCCTGTTTCAGCATTTCGTTCTCTTCAGTGCCATATCCATCTTTGTGTCATTTGAGTGTATGACTCATACGACCCAAAAATGGAACTGTTCTGGCCACCAGTTTTTGGGTCGATGGCTCGACCGTCCAGTTTGAATGAATAGCCCGTTTTGACAACAAAAGTTAGAAAATTAAAAATGGCCAAAAACCAATGAACAGGTCAACGGGTCGACAGTTCGACCACTAGGGTCAATGGGTTGTTGACCGATTCAACGGTTTTTGGCAAGGGTGCAAGATTGGGGTAAAACCGAACCAGTTACCTAGATGGTTCCCAATTAAAAAAATAAAAAAATGGTGGTTCAACCATCCGGTTCAAATGGATGGCCCATTTTGACAACAAAAATTGCGGGCAAAAAATTGAGTGTATGAGGTCCATTAAGCAGTATCATACGTGTTATGTCATTTGAGCGTGTGACTCATACGACCTAAAAATGGAATTGTTCTGGTCACCGGTTTTTGGGTCAACGGTCCGACCGTCTGGTTTGAACGGGCGTCCCATTCTAACAACAAAAATTAAAAAAATTATGAAAAATGGCCAAAAACCATTGAACGGGTCAATGGGTCAATGGTTCGACCGCCTGAGTCAATGTGTCATTGACCGATTCAATGGTTTTTGGCCAAGGACCGGGATTGGGATAAAATGGAACCGGTTTCCTGGACGGCTCCCAATTAAAAAAATAAAAAGCGGTCAAAAACCATTGAATGGGTCAATGGGTTGACAAATCGACCATCCGGATCAATGGGTCATTGATCAATTCAACGGTTTTTGGCCAAGAACCAGGATTGGGGTAAAACGGAATCAATTGCTTGGACGGTTCCTGGGCCAAAATGTCCGTCCGTCCGGGTCAATGGCAGTTCGAATACCATGGTTTTTTATGCTTTTGGATTTTCACTATTCAAAGGCTTCTTCTATTGTTGGCTTTATTCGAGCATGTACGGTATAGGGTTTACCATCATTTTATTTATTCCCTTTTGTTTTTTCTTTGGGTTTTCTTGTGCAATGTTTTTTTTTTTCTTACAAGATGATATGCTTTTTCTCTTTCTTTGATTGCATGTACATTTAGCTCCGTCTCAAAGCAGAACTTTGGAGTTGATTTTCTGTTTTTTTTTTTCCTTGGCTTTTCTAGTTTGGTGGATTTACCGCCAATTTTTTGTGTTTAAGGTCACTTTGGATTTATCTTTCAAGGTTTTGGAATCCCTTGCAATATCCACCCTTCCCATGACTATGACTATAAAGTTATTTCGTCTAATTATTGACATCTAGAAAAAACGACCCGGAAACGAAACCGTTCTGGTCACCTGTTTCTAGGTTGACGGTTCGGCCGTCTAGTTCAAATGGATGGCCTATTTTGACAACAAAAATTAAAAATTAAAAAATAAAAATGGACAAAAACCTTTAAACGGGTCAACGGGTCGATGGTTTGACTGCTTGGATCAATGGGTCGTTGATTGATTCAACGATTTTTTGCCAGGGACTGGGTTTAGAGTAAAACAAAACCGGTTGCATGGACGGTTCTCGGGCTGAATGGTCCTATTGTCTAGGTCAACTGAGAGTTCTCGATGTGATCGTATTCTTATATATGAGATGCTTTGCTGAATTTTAAAAAATGAACACATGATGATCTCTTTTAAGTCTTTACACGAGTTTCAAGAGTTGAGTACTTATAATTGCAGGTTTCTTATTAAGAAACCATTGTCTTTTTTAATGTAGTAAATAGCAATGTTGTAATTCCATTCCAGCCCCTGCGAGGCAGGGACCCCTCCGCTAGTTTCTTATTAATTTTAACAAGGTGCTTTAGATGATTTTCTACATAATCTTATGCATGAGAATGATCTGCACTATAACTGAGCCATGGTAGTCCCTATCCATATCCTTTCTTTCGTTAAAAAGTTACTGTTTTTTACTAATTACAGTTAAACCATTTTCTAAATCATTCTTTTCACCCAATTAAAAGAACAATATAATTTAATGTAGACTATCCGAATAGTGGATTTTTTTAGTTGAACAGAAAATCTGCATTTTAACTGAGAAAATAGTTCCTTACAGAAAGGGTAGCTGGTATAGCCATTTTATAGCTCTACAGTTATGTTCCATTGGTATAGCTCTTCCTTGGGAATTCTCAAGACAAGGCTCACAAAACCAGACCCTTCATCATATGTGAATTCTACTTCATCAGCATCAACAGTAATCCTCCTAGGTCTAACAGATGAATAGGCTCCAAATGTACCACAGCCTCGAACTTTCATGTCAATAACTGAACTTCTTTTCAGTTCATATCTCAACTCTTTGATGGCTCCTCCAGGATTGAACATCTGGATTGGTCCAATCGGGGCAAAATAAGCTCCGTTGGACAATTCCTTAACAGGAACCACTGTAAGAACTTCATACTCGTGGGATTTCAGCGTAATTGAAAAAGATGCGTTCTCTGGAAGATAAATCACTTTTCCTGCAAAATATCAGACTAAATTAATTAGGAAACCAAATAATTTGGTTTTTTTTCTTTAAAAACCTGAGGTTCACTTCAATCATTTCAAATTTTTCATGACAGAGGAGTTTAGTTTGAAATTCAAAATTCTATAATTTTCTTATATTCAAGTAACATAAACATGATAAAGATACATTATACAAGTTCAGCAAGCAACGCTTACCACCTAAGTGGGAATAAATGACAGCATCCCCACTCCATCCCTCCTCAGCAATTTTATGTATGTGGTCAACATCCTTTGAACGAATAATCCCAGTGATTGAGCTTGTTTTTTCATCATGGATCATATTCTTCTTTCGAACTGTACACCATGCTGCTCCTTGGCAGTTAAAAACCCCCATAACTCCAGAGAAATCATTCAGATTCCATATCTTCATGAGACTGTATAGCAACAATTGTGGATTAAATAGAAAATCCTGTGTGTGGGTGTGTGCAAGCCAGTTTAAGTGTGTTTGTATTATGCACGTATAAGCATTAGTGCTTTGAGAACCAAACAGTCCATATGGTTGGACTGTTTTGACCTCAATACTAGGTTACCGCTTTCTAAGTAATAAAATTTGATATTGTTGCTGATCAAAAAAAAAAAAAAAAAAAATACTAGGTTACCGCTTCCAAGATGAATGATTATCCAAATTGATCTGGTCAAAGTCCTCATGGATAACCATGATAAAAGGCCTTATTCTAATTCTATTGGATTTTAATTTCTTGCATATTTCCTTCAAGCAGGTCAAAAAGTTGACCTGAATAGTCAGACTGTTTACCTGCAATCTGCCAACATTGGCAGGTTGACATCCAGTCTAGGTTTATTGACACTAATAAGCACATGGGTTTGCTAAATACATGTTGAGGGAAGAGGCATAGACAACCCTGGCCTTTATGACATTGATAATTGTTGGGATGCATGTTTGAGTGTATAAGAAAAATCCTGCATTATAAAAAGATAAAAGATGCAAGGGATATATACAAGGATTGGTCAACAACCTAGTGGCTTAAGCTTTTGGGATAAAGGTGATGTCAAACTCTTGTCCATGTACATGAGCTCCCCAGTTTTGGAGACTCCCCTTAATGTACAATGGTGGTCTCAAAGTCAAAAGTTTTGTTGGATGCACATAGTAGTTCCCATGGCTTTGCCGGTTTACCCATGGTCAAGTAGTTAGCATGAGCAGATGATCTCCATAATGACTCCATCCACGGGAATGCACTCTCATAGTTGGCTCCCTATGGTTGTAAGCAAAGGGCTCTTGATTGGTGTGTGTCAAACTTGGTGATAATGATAACACATTTTGTTCGAAGGGGAGTACAGAATAGTTAATATGGAAGAGACTAACACATGAGGGGAGATGTTGGGATGACTGTGTCTGTGTGTGAGAAGAAAAGTTTCACATTGGAAAAAGATGGAGATGCAGGGAACTTATATACAAGAATTGGCTCACAACCCAATAGCTCAAGCTCTAATTTTGGGTTAAAATTGGTGTTCAATTCTTGTATGCAAGTCCTATTTATGCATACATGAGATCTCCGGTTTTGGTGAGTCCCTTCAATGCACAACAGTTATCACTTCCATGTCCAGCCTCTTCAAGGCCAAACATGATTTCCATGTCCAGGCACAGTATCTAATCAGGCACACCTGATGGTTTGCCAATTGTCACATTTCTCTCTACATTAGATCAAGTTAATCTTGCAATTAAGTATGATCAATATGACAAGACCAATTTGCACATGCATATGACTATATGCATGTAAAGTAAAATAACTTTTGCTCACCTCTTCCCATCTTTGGTAGGATCTGAAAATAAGCAATCTCTTGTAGGTCTTCCTGGAAGTCCTGCTCGCAGTGTGGTCCCGTCAGGAAGCACAAGTTTCTTCAGCAGATTAAAGTCATGGTATCCAGGTTTGTCACTGCACGAAATGGATTTCCATCATGAGAAAAAATATCCTTCCACTAAACTATTGTCAATGGCCAGAGTTATCACAAATTAATTTAGTTGTAAACCTGACATAAATAGCACATCCTCCAACAGCACGAGCTGCTGCATGGAATTCAGCCATGGGGTGAAGACTCTGACCACAAAATGATTTATGGGTTAAAATCCAACAACTGATGTGGCTTTTAGAAGCTTAGATACCAGAAAATTGGTTTTTTATAGCTTACATGGAACATATCCCAATCAGGTTGCATAAATTCCCCAAGGAAAATAGAATTGTAGGCGACAGATGCAATATGAATTGTGTGGGATGCTGGATCTCTTGGAAAGAAATCATCTGAAGCTCTTATTACAGCTGCCTGCTTTGAGCTATATCAAGAATGCAATATCATACCAAATCAAAACTCTTTGGGTATAAAATGAGACAATTAGAATCACTAAAAGCAATACTAAAAAGAAATGAGCGCACCTGTACAAACTATCAGTGTTGTGACTCATGCAGGATATGATTCCATTACCATGAAAGTTTTTAGAAATTGAAGCTTCTAATGCCTCATGGTACTTCCTGGTTAGTTTCACTCTTCCTCCATGGCCCACTCCTAGAGTCTCAAGGATGCTCTGAGCATCTACTTTGACTCCATCAATGCCAGATGATGCAAGATAAGAGTGAAGGTCATCATAGAAGTTAAAAATTTTCTCAGGGTTTACAAGAGAAACACCATTTGCAGCAATGCTGTTAAAAACCTCACAACACTGAACCCCGGGAGATGGAATGGGATGGTTCATCTTAGATTCATAGTATTCCATTTCAGTAACATTTGGCATAACACCACCCCAATTCCCAGTTATTGCATGCCATACATACACATACCTGGAAAAGTTTGGAAGGAAGATGGATGAATGGTCGGAATAATTTCTCTTGAAGATATTATATGGATTGAAGAAACAGTAAACTGAGATTATATCTGGAGGAAATTTTGCTTTTGTAGGAGAAGTTTGAGTCATAATTTCCTTTTCTTTGACTTTATAATTTGAAAAAGGCAGTCTTACTTCAAAGCATGTTTCTCTTTGATCTCAGTAACAACATGAGCAAGTCCCATTGCTGGATCTTCTTCTCTGAGGCCCTCTTTGCCATTTTTCTGAAATTTATGATTTTCTTTCATATGGGTTAACCTGTTAGCAAAACTGCAAGCAAGAAAGTGAAAAAAATATATAACATGTGAAAGAAAAGATGGAAAACCAAATAAGGTTGGATTCTGAGAAGGGTTCTTACTTGGCTGCATATGGGAGATTGGAATCAATCCCATTGGCATCCATACCAACAGATTGCCATCCATCGTCAACTATAACAAACTTTGGGTGAATCCCACCTTTCTCTAAACTGCAAGAAACACCAGTATATCAGCCCACCATTGGGATGATATCTGAAGCACAGCAATTAGAAGCCAGACCTTTCTAGCCCTTGCTCCACTCCCTCTGCAGTAACATCAGTATAGAATGCATCCCATGTACACCAGCCAAACCAGTTGAGTATGTCTGGCATCTAAAATAACAAAAAAGTAATTAATAGTAGTCGATATCAATATCCACATTCATCAACATGGACCTCATGTACAAAGCAAGTTTAAGACTACTTGAAAATAGACTACCTTCTTCTTTTCACGATGAGAAAATGTCTGTAGGTGCTTCTCAACTTCCCTATATAAGTTTGAGATGTAAATACATCAATAATTAATTTAAATAACTATTGTTACTTCTGGATCAGAGTTGATGCCAATGCTGATCCAAGGTTGGACAAAATCAAAGGGTAGAAGAAGGGTACACAGAAACGAAGAGCAATAATATCAGTTCAAAATTCACTCTCCATATCATGGCAGTAAGCAAATTAAATACTTAATATAGATACCAAAATCTACTAATTCTCTATTGGTTTGTTTTGTTTAAGTATTAACCCATCAGATTTGGTTATATCTAGTATGCCCAATGTTACAAGTAATGTCAAGGGTATTTGTGCCATTTAATATTGTTAGAACTTAGAAGTATCATATTATGTGCTGATTTGAATTTAACTATATAATTGACACTACATTAACCTATTGTAGTTTGATCAAAGCCTCACTCTAGCTATAACCTATAACATACAATCCCATCATTTCACTATGCACCAATCCAGTAGTGTGAGACAGCATATTAGGTTGCCTAACTCCAAATCAACTCAAATTTAACATTTAAGACCAAGCATGAAAGGCTCCAACAAGATCTATGATATCCATCCAATCCCTTGTTAGCTGAGTAAACAAGCAAATGCAATAAGATACTCTTGAGCTGTTGTTTTTCTGGTGAAGCTCCAGGAATTCAACCAAGTAATCAGCTAGATTAATCCTGATTTGCCTTTTGTCTTTCTACTCTATCAAGGGACACATTCATGAAAAAAAAAAATTCTAAGTTCTCAAATCTAAATAAGTTTCTATCATAAAAGATATCTTATTAATTTGATCTAATCTTGCTACCAAGCTCATATCTGAACTAATACATAGCAATTAATATCTATTCTCCTCATTTAGAGTTTCAAGTTAATTCCATCAAACAACAAGATGCTGAATAGAAACAAAAGAGTATCAAGTTTGGGACATTTTCTAAATTCTAATGAACTAATGTTCTAATGGCTAGTGCAAAGAAAAAAAAGGTTCTGATGTACAATCTCACCTAACTCCAAATACGAACAATTTCTTAGACATGATCAATGGACAATATTAACATCTAGTCAGAACTCAAGATGCTAAATAGAGGTAAGTGAAAATTTAAATTTTAAACATGCTTCATGAATTAATAATATTCCTACTTTACAGCATTTGTGATGACATCAAAAGGGTCTGATCCATTTCCCACGAAAACCAAATGGCTCCCCTCAAACTCATCAATGGCAGGGTCTCCTGAAAGGTACCAAACCAACATTTTACATTTATACCAGCATCACACAAACATAAAGCACACTCCAAGCGAGAACAAGGAGGTCAAAATCTGAAATCCGTATGTCTACCACTTTCCAAACATATCTCCAATTCGTCATTTGAGTTCCCTTGAAGAACAGCTCTAAAAGCTCCCTCCAAAATAGGTAAGAAAACAATATACGTAGCAGACTCAGCTACTTGATCTTCACTTTCCTCACAAAAGTAAGAACCATTATGTCCTTCAACAATCAAAAATTGCGTCTCGAATGGGATATCTTTGCCCGAAGAACCCATCCTCTGGATCATCCACCATAATTTGAAGCGAAAAAGACACATAAAACGCAATCCCCTGTAAATTTAAAACGATTATCAAAACAGAGAAGCACGAATCCAGTAAACCACAATAAACATACAACTTATGTCTACCGATATTACAGATCAACCAAGCAATGACAGAAAGCTAATTAGAACTAATTCCTAAATTGAAGGTACAAATTAAGAAAAGGGAGAACTGAAAGACACTTCCTTGTAACTTAGAAATTTTGAGAACTTACTTGAGCTTGCCGATGGGGAAAATGCGGTGACTCCCACTATGATCAGATGTAACGCCAATAAAAGCTCCATTAATGAATTCATTACCACTGACAGGAGTTACAACGATGTTCTCGTGAACATCAGACAGAATGCAGTTTCCCAAAACCATCAACTTGCCATCAACAACAGAAACCCCAGATCCACTAGTCATTTTGTAAATCAAAACAAACCTACAACAGCCAAATCGAAATTCCAAACAGGAAAAGAATGATTTCTTCTCATTAACTGAATTAACAGTTTACCAAAAAAAAAGCAGAGCAAAGATATCGAGAAACTTCTAAAGAACCTCAAAGAACCCAGAAACTGCAAAAATAAACAAAACAAACTAAAAATGAAAAACCATGAGAAAGAAAAGAGGAAACAACAGAACACTGAAAAACAAAACCAAGAAAATATCAAAACAACTTAGCAGAAAGCACAGAGTAGTAGCACAGACGGAGAAAAACTAAAAGAAATTCAAAACAAAACTCAAAGAGGTTACGTTCATATTATAATTTGACGGGCACGCACTTGTAAACTTCACATGGCTTGTTGACGTTTGGTGTGGCTCAGTAATTCAACAGTCCACTAATTACTCCACCCCTTTCATCTTGCTGAAATTCAGGGACCACGTTCCCACTTTCTTCTCTATAAAAGGAGCTTCCAGGGAGAGATCAAGGTGGGCAGTGAGCATCAGAGAGCTCTTATACGGAGAGAGAAAAATTGAGAGAGCCACAATTTTTGAGTGATAAACACATTTGTCAGAGTCCATCCAGATGTTTCTTCTTGTCATCACTCAGCAGTGTCATTCAATTTTGTTGCAGATATTGTTATCTACTGGTTTCTCTGCCTTTGCAGCCTATGCCATGGAGTGCGTCAAGGGTTCGTTAAAAGCATCTCGGCACTATTAAGATGGCCAGTTTGTAATACTCTAGTCTATAGTCAAAGGACATAATAAAAGAAGTTCTCCTCCCTCTCCCGTGGATGTATATACCGAATCATGTAAATCTCGTGTCATTTTTACCTTTCGCTTTTGCTTTTATTATTTGTTTTATAATTCACATATTTTCTCAATTGTTTTCTAGATCGCTATACTAATTAATCAGTAATTCAGAGTATTAATCCTAATAAATTGGTATCAGAGTTACCAATTAATTTTGTTATTAATGGCATCAATGAAGTTTGATATTGAGAAATTTGATAGATATGTGAATTTTGGTCTATGAAAGCTCAAGATGAGAGCGATTCTGATTCAAAATGGCTTGGAGAAGGCTTTGGCCGGACAAAAGAAAAAACCTGAATCCATGTTTAATGAAAAGTGGGAGGAGATTGATATGAAAGCCATGCCGACTATTCATTTGTGCTTATCGAACGAGATTCTTCGTGAAGTTGCTAAAGAAACCTCTATGACAGAATTGTGGCTCAAATTAGAGTCACTCTATATGATAAAGAGTGTGACCAATCAGCTTCTGTTGAAAAGCAGAATTAAGGACCTTCGTCTTCGGGAAGGTAACTCAATTAAAACCCACCTTGATGAGTTTTTCTCGATTGTCATGGATCTGCAAAATATTGATGTTGTGATTGATGATGAAGATTTGGCTATCACTCTTTTGTGTTCTTTACCCGCATCATATAAGCATTTTAGAGAAACTTTATTGTATGGGCGTGAGGAGATTACAGTTGAAGATGTAAAGAATGCGTTGTTACAACGCGAATTGACTGATAATCAACTGACCAATAACCCAAGTAACTCCACAACCGAGGGTCTCATTGTTTGTGGCAGGCCATCTAAAAGAGGTCGCGACAGTAAGTCAAGGGTTCGGTCTAAGCCAAAGCATCGTAATTTGACTTGCAACTACTGCAAAAAGAAAGGTCATGTTAAGGTTGAATGTTTCACGTTGAAAAATAAACAGAAACATTAGGCAAGCGGTGACACAAAGAAAGATCCTCAAGCCGAAGCAAGTGTTGCGGCGGATGAGTTAGAGAATGATCTTTTGATGATAGCAGATGCAGTTGCAAGGAAGGGTTCAGAATGGATTATGGACTCAGGATGTTCTTACCACATGTGTCCCGACAAAAGTGCATTCTCCACATATGAGAATTTTGATGGTGGAGTTGTTTTGATGGGCAACAACGCAACTTGCAAGGTTGTTGGTAAAGGGACCATTCGGGTGCGTATGCACGATGGTATTGTGAGGACATTAAATGAAGTCCGTCATGTTCCTGATCTGAAGAAGAACCTGATTTCTTTGGGTACACTTGACTCCAGTGGTTGTAGATATTCAGCTAAAGGTGGAGTTCATAAGGTAACCAAAGGTGCTTTGGTAGTTATGAAAGCTAACAAGGTTGGCAGATTATATGTATTGCATGGAAGTACTGTGATAGAATCTTCTGCTTTGGCCTTGTCATCCATGTTCGAGGAAGATCTTACAAAGATGTGGCATATGAGGCTCGGACATATGAGCGAGAAAGGGATGACTTCTTTGAGCAAGCGAGGCTTGCTTTGTGGGCATGACACAAGTACTCTTGAATTCTGTGAACATTGTGTGTTTGGTAAACACAAAAAGGTTAGCTTTGCCAAAGGGGTACATAGGACCAAAGGTACACTTAATTACATTCATTCAGATTTATGGGACCCTTCTCGTGTTTCTTCGAAGGGTGGAGCAAATTATCTTCTGACATTCATCGATGACTTCTCTAGAAAGGTATGGGTGTATTTTCTCAAAAATAAAAATGATGTGTTTGGAGTCTTCTTGCAGTGGAAGACTATGATCGAGAAGTAGACAGGGAGGCAAATTAAAAGGTTGAGGGCTGATAATGGGCTCGAGTTTTGTGAGTCTGACTTTACAAATTATTGTTTGAAGGAAGGTATCGTCAGACACCGCACCTGTGTTGATCGACCACAATGGAACGGTGTGGCAGAGCGGATGAACTGCACACTCTTGGAAAGGGCTCGTTGCATGTTGTCCAATGCAAGTTTGGATAAGTCCTTTTGGGTCGAGGTAGTTTCCATGGCAGCCTATTTAGTGAACCAATTTCTGCATTCAACTCTCGAGGCTAAGACTCCGTTTGAGATTTGGTCAGGTACTCCTGCTGATTATTCATCTTTGAGACTTTTTGGTTGTCCTGCTTATACTCATGTTAACGATGGAAAGTTAGAACCTAGAGCCAAGAAATGTATCTTTGTGGGCTATGGCTCTGGTGTAAAGGGTTACAAGTTGATTGCCCTTCGAGCAGGAAAATTATTATTAGCTACGATGTCATATTTGATGAATCACATATGTTATCTCCAAGGAAGGAGGATTATGTTGCTGGTGATTCAGGTACATCATAGGATGCCCAGATGCAGGTGGAGGTGGAGCCCAGTCCATCTTCATAACCTTCTCAGTCTATTTCAGATGAGCCGGTCACATCGGGTGATGTTCAGCCCAATCAGGAGTCACGCACTATTGCCAAAGATAGACCGAGGCGACAAATAAGACCACCAAGGAGATTTGATGATTGTGTGTCTTATGCATTGACTGTCGCTTGTGAAGTAGATGGCACTACCGATCCGACCACTTACGATGAAGCCATATCTAGTCTGGACAATGGTAAGTGGTTAGTTGCCATGGAAGAGGAGATTGCATCTCTCGAAAAGAATAGCACATGGGAGCTTGTAACGCCACCACCAAAGAAGACAATTGTTGGGTACAAGTGGGTCTACAAGACTAAGGAGGGGATTCCTGGTGTTGAGGATGCTCGATACAAAGCAAGGTTAGTGGCACAGGGTTTCAGTCAGGTTGCAAGTATTGACTATATTGAAGTCTTCTCCCCTGTTATTAAACATTATTCTATTCGTACCTTGCTTGCTTTGGTAGCTATGCATGATATGGAATTAGTTCAGTTAGATGTTAAAACTGCATTCTTGCATGGTGATTTGAAAGAGAAGATTTATATGAAACAACCTGACGGTTTTGTTGTGGAAGGAAAGGAAGATCACGTTTGTTTGTTAAAGAAGTCTCTGTATGGCCTTAAGCAGTCTCCAAGGCAGTGGTATAAGCGCTTTGACGCTTTCATGACTTCTAGTGGTTATTCTAGGAGTGCTTTTGACAATTGTGTTTATTTCAGGAAGCTCTCTGATGATTCCTTCGTTTATCTGTTATTATATGTTGACGACATGCTCATTGCTTCTAAGAATAAGTCTGAAATTGTGAAGTTTAAGTCTCTCTTGAACAGTGAGTTCGAGATGAAGAATCTGGGTCCAGCGAAGAAAATTCTGGGTATGGAGATTATTCGTGATCGTGAGAACAAGAAACTGTTTCTCAGTCAACAGAACTATATTGAGAAAGTTCTTGATCGTTTTTGCATGTCAGATGCCAAACCTGTCTCCACTCCTCTAGTAGCTCACTTCAAGTTGTCGGCGAAGCAGCCACTGAAGTCTAATGAGGAGAAGGTCTATATGGCTTGTGTGCCTTACTCTAGTGCTGTTGGTAGCATCAAGTATGCTGTGGTATGTTCGCATCCAGATATTGCTCAAACAGTCAGTGTTGTGAGCCGTTATATGTCCTATTCGGGGAAGGCTCATTGGGAAGCAGTGAAGTGGATACTTAGGTATTTGAGAGGTACGTCTGATATCTGCCTTGAGTTTGGAAGATCCACACAAAAGCTTGTCGGTTATTGTGATTCTGATTACGCTGTAGATCTTGATCGGAGGAGATCTCTCACTGGCTATTGTTTCACTTTGGGTAGTACATATGTTAGTTGGAAAGCTTCACTTCAGTCGATTGTTGCTTTGTCTATGATTGAAGCTGAGTATATGGCGGTGGCTGATGCCGCTAAGGAAGCTTTATGGTTGCGAAATCTGGTTGGTGAACTCACAGGTAGTCAGGAGGCTAAAATGATCTATTGTGACTGTCAGAGTGCCATACATCTGACTCATGACCAGATGTTTCATGAGAGGACCAAGCACACTGATGTGCGTTACCACTTTGTTCGTGATGTTGTTGAGGATGGTTGAGTTTTAGTCAACAAAATAGCTTCCGCTGAGAATTCCGCAGATATGTTGACAAAGCCATTACCATCATCCAAGTTCGATGCTTGCACCGACTTGGTTGGTCTCGTCTCATTTGATGCTTGATGCCCTTGGGGCATTTGGAGAGGGAGGTTCCGGAGATTTGCTGATTAAAAGAACTTGTTGAATTCTTGCAAGGTGGAGATTGTTGACGTTTGGTGTGGCTTAGTAATTCAATAGTCCACTAATTGCTCCACCCCTTTCATCTTGCTGAAATTCAGGGACCACGTTCCCACTTTCTTCTCTATAAAAGGAGCTTCCATGGAGAGATCAAGGTGGGCAGTGAGCATCAGAGAACTCTTATACGTAGAGAGTAAAATTGAGAGAGCCACAATTTTTGAGTGATAAACACATTTGTCGGAGTCCATCCAGATGTTTCCTCTTGTCGATCACTGAGCAGTGAACACTTTGTGGTCATTCAATTTTGTTGCAGATATTGTTATCTACTAGTTTCTCTGCCTTTGCAACCTATGCCATGGAGTGCGTCAGGGCTCCGTTAAAAGCATCTCGACACTATTAAGATGGCCAGTTTGTAATACTCTCATCAATGACATCAATAAAACAAGTTTTCCTCCCTCTCCCGTGGATGTAGGTCACTTTGATTGAACCACGTAAATCTAATGTCATCTTTACCTTTACCTTTCGCTTTTACTTTTATTATTTGCTTTATAATTCACATATTTTCTCAATTGTTTTCTAGATCGCCATACTAATTAATCGATAATTCAGAGTATTAATCCTAACATGGCTGAAGACCATCTTTATCTCATTCCTCACATAAAATATGAATGCATGATAATGTATTAGGTCAAATACATTATGTCAACTTATTATGATTTATTTTATTTGTGTTTTCAAATTAAGATACATTCCAATGTTG